AAGGACTTCCTTTTATATTAGATAAAAATTTGGCTAAAACAGAGAATTAGTAATACAAATTACATTTCATTTAGAAAGTTTCAGACTGTAATTTGTGATTTCCAGAAATGGGGAAAAAGTCTGGTATTAATTGTCTATTAATATACTTAGTCACTGTACATTTTCTTAAAATGTTACAGAAGAAATGTACTATCTTCTATCATATCACCACAGGCAGCCTCAACATCCTTCATCTAAATAAACAAAAACACCAGCCAAAACCAAAGACCTAATACTTTAATCTTTGGTACGTCTTTTTAAAATATACTTATTTATAGATTTTACTGCTCCTTCTTGTGCACATCTTCTTCTCTACCACTTACCAAACATGTGAAATAAACTGCCCACTTGCTGTCTTAGTCAATGACAGGTCTGGAAGCTGTTAAATTATATGGCTCATCGCTCTCCTCTGAGTCATACTGCAGATTGAATCAGCATTGATGGAGGCAGGGCTAGTGAGAGGCCCACTGATGCCAGAAGAGAGATGGAATCTAGCTGGCTTTTTCTGACCCTCCTTGATTTCTCAGTGATATTTTTTAAATGTGTGCCTGTGTGATGGCAGTTGTATTGAGCTAGGAACTATTGATTTGAGGAATCACCTAAAGAACTATGTCTCAGGATTTCAGACTGACCATCTAACAGCAGAAAATACCCTGCCCTCAAGTCAGCTCAGGACTTGTTGTTTTCCCCTTGCCTGCCATTTATTAGGCATATAGTCTAAAATTTCAAAGTTGTTTCTAATGTCAAATACTGTGTGAGCTACAGCTGTTTAGTAATATTATAAAATATGTGAATCTTCATTATCTTAATGTATTTGCAGAGTGCTTCAGATAACATTGATTGGGATTATGCGTTGTATTTTAGTTTTTAAATTTTAAAATATATGTCTAGCAGGTAGCAGGACAGAGATTTTTTAAAAGCCTATGTTGACTCAGAGACTGTATTTTCATATAAAAAGATGAATGCTATTGTTTTCAATACCAAATGTTTCTCAGTTTTGTAAATTTCTTCTATGAATCTTAGTTTTCTGAGTTTTCATATGGTTTTTTAAGACCCTAGAAATTAACTCCCTGGTAAATTCAAATAAAAGTTTAAAAATTCATAATTAAAATAGATGTCCTATAGTATTTATGAATTTTAGTGTGAGTCCAGAAATGTATCACACATTACATGATTGAGCACAGGAGAATGCCTTGGGACACCTCAAGTGCTTAACATGAAATCATTCCATAGTTAAAAAGCACTTTTCTTAGGTGTCTAGTCCGAAGGTTAACTATGATTCCATTGTTGAGCTAAGAAAATACCAACCTCGGAATGGCAGCCAGACCTCAGAAACTTTGAAAAGTTTCAATGCCCTCTAATCTCTCTCACATACATCTTAAAAATAATTTCTGTATATTGTCATATGTTTATAAGTGTCAAGGGTATATATCAAGTTAAAAATACCTGAAAATCTGAAAGTTTTGAAAAAAACTGTTTAGTGTAGAGCTGCCTTTTCTGATCCCTCACCTTGCATTCAGTTCTTTGAATGCATTTGGTACTCTACAGCTATGATAAAACCATTTATTCTCTGGCATTCTAGGTTTAATGATGTATCAAAAAAGAAGGATGAGAGGCTGAGATAGCTCAGCAAATAAGCACCTGCCTGGCAAGCACAAGGTCCTTAGTTCAATTCCCAGTACCAAAAAAAGAAAGAAAGAAAAGAAAAAGTAAAAGGAAAAGATCAAAAAAGTTCAGCTAACTTCCCTTTTTTTAGAATTGACATTTTTAGTATGTTAAATTCAGAAAAAGCCAGATGGTAATTCTGATGGGAAACAGAGTCTGTCACCGCTGTTAGGCTGCATTTCAGGTAAGTCTCTGGACCTCCTTTGTCCTCTGTATTCTCGTCGGCAAAATTAGAAGCTGGATCTAGAGGATCCCTGCGGTCCTGTCCGGCTTGAATGTTCTAAGATAATGAATGGTCTGGAGAGGCGCATAGAGCTGAAATGTCTTTGTTCTGTGCATCACTCTGCGTGACTTTGGTGTGATCAAATGTTTCAGCTTTAGCTCTTATTCCTTCATATGCTGCCACATGTTGGACTTCAGTAGACCTTCTGGGAGAGGGTGAGTACAGATCATTTTTGAACTCCTCTTTTTGGAGACTTCTGTACCTCCATAACTGTCCTGTTGTGACTTGCTGGAGTCTGGTGTATCCTTTCTTCCTTCTTTTTCTTCTCTCCCGTTTGCGCTCCCTCTCTGGGGACATACAGATTCTTTGGCTGCACTTTCCTCTGTTCCTTCTGAAGCACAGATCACAGATCCGTTTGCTCCAGAACCTAGCCCTCCTACTACAACCGCTGAAATTGCAACTGCTTCAGCTTCTGCCTCAACCACCACGACTGTGACTGCTGTCACTGCTGACGTGGATCTCTTTGGAGGTTAGTTAGTCACTTCACTGCGCTTTAAGTTTCCCTTTCAGAGCAACTAAAATTACATGGCAGTTAAATATTTTTACATTATATAATAGGACGGCAAAATGTTTGAATACCTTTCCTATGTCCATTCATATATGTTTGTCTTTGCTAAACTCATCATCGTTCCATTTAATTTTGGTGTTTTAAGGTTGTCATACTTGAAACCCAATTATTCTTACGTTAAGAATTGGGTTGTTGCCCGATCTCTTGCCCTGTCACTTTCTTACTGTGCAGTAGTGCTACAGGAGGGGTACATACGCCTCTGACATACACAGATTTGGCTTTTTAAACTGATTAGAACTAGCCCAGAGACAACTTAGAGAAATGAAAGGGCAGTCCAAGCCTAAATAATCACTTAACACTTAAGGCAAAACATCTCAGAGTAGTTCAGATTTGGAGGTCTCTATAGACAATTTGGGTCTCCTTCATGCACTTTTTAAATTTGTTGTGTGTTTGTAAAAACTTGGAACATTGTTCTTTACTTTGGAGCTTTCAAAGAGTATCTGAAACAGCACTTGACATGCTGATTGAACAGGTTTGTCAGTCTTTGAAATGATTGTCTAGAAATTTGCTTTTCAGGCAGATGTAAGTTGGAACCCATTAAAATATCCTATAATATGCCTCAACCTGAACAACCATCTAAAGCCAGTTTATTTATATAATCCTCTTTGAGTGTAGTTGGTGTGCAAACCTAGAAAAGCGTGCATATAAAATGCATGCACCAAGTGGTGTTATATTCGTTATAGTTTTGTGTTTCTTATTACCATATAATGTCTTTTCCAGGGCATTCAGAGAATATAGTAAAGAAATTGGGAGCAAACGACAGGCAGTGGAGGAGAGATTTGGCAGGCTCTAGCAGAACATATACATTCTCCAGGGAACATCCACTCACACGCTGGCAGATGGCATTCTGCCTCAGTGTGTGAGGGAGACAGGGATCAGCTAGACACAGCATTGTCATCACTGTTTCCCAAAAGGAATTTTCTGGCACTTTGCTGTATTGCCATTCCTGTAAGGAGAAACCTGGTTCTTAAAAAAAGCAGAGGAGAAAGGATTGCAGACCCAGCAGTATTTATTAAACAGACTCGCCCAAAATTGAAAGCTCATTATTCAGTAAGTTTCAGCCTCAACTTACAATGGTAATTTGTTTGCCCTCATTATTGGTGTTGGGTGTAAGGAATTTCTCATAGGCTTGGGTTAAAAAAAACTCAAAGAAAATGGAAAATACAGAGAAGTTGCATAACAATTTTGCACTGAAATGTTTCTACACATTTTGCTGTTTCAGTTTTTTATTTTCATTCCACTTCTGCGGAGCCTGATTACCTCTTAGAAACCAATCAGCTGTTTCTTCTTGCGTAGCAAGCATATGCCCTAGAATAATAAAGCCCAAGATGTTTCTTTGAAATACTCTTTGAGCCATTATGCTCCTTTCATTTTTTACTTACTACTCCTTTGGCTATATTTGTCAAGCAGAAAAGTCTGGACACTTGGAAATATTTTCATGACAATTTACCTTTAAACACAAGTTCCAAGGACTACAGCAGAGTCAGGTGACCTGATACCAGAGAAGGGGGCTGCCTCTGCTGTTTCATGGCTACCCTTTTAGTCCATCTGCAGACTTCACCGCGATTGTCACCTCGGTCTGCGCAGTGCTGTGAAGTGTCGCCTGGCCTCTGGCAGCTATAAAAGTTACCCGTTACGTTCAAGAGTCGCATGTGGTGTTCTCTGTGTTTTTCAGTGAATTTTTTCCTAATTTCTTTCATGCCCTTAATTGATTTATAAGAAATCACTTAGAGATTTGACTTTAAATAAATACCCAGTCTTACATTTCTTTGGCCATTCTGTATGGTCATTTTAAAGTATTTCTTGTCCCTAAAATGGGCAGGTAGTAGAACTCCAGATTAACGAGGCCAATTTATTACATGTGTATTACTACGTTTGCTTACACAAAGTTAAAACATGCTATCTTGAGGTTCTTTATAAGGTTTGCAGCAGCTAGTGGGATTTCTTTGGAAATAAGGTAAATGAATTCAATTTCAGAAAAATACACAAATATGAAATATTATAATTTTATTTGTTTTTTAGTGTTGTATGTGAATTACAAAGGAAAAAGGTGAATTGTTACTTTAACAGAAGTATTCATAATGTTTTAGTCATTTCAGTGTAAGTAGTTCTTTTAAAGTTATTAAAAATGTCTTCTCAGATATATTACATACGAGGAGGGGGATGCTCAGTGGTAGAGCACTTTCTAGCATTCCTGAGACCCTGAGTTCAATCAAATCAAATAAAATGAAATAAAATGAATAAAAGATAGAGGGAAGGAGAAGAGGAAAGAAAGAAGAAAGGAAAGATAAGAGACAGGAAAAGAAAGAATGAACTTTTTTTTAAGGTGAACTTTTAAGAAACAAATTGTTTTCTGTACTCAGATAAACAGGATTATAAGGCAGTGTTGTGTTTAAAAACTTAGCAAAGCTTATAGATATTGATAACAGTAAAGGAAAAATTCAGTGCTTACCTTAGCAACAATATACTAAAACTAGAGTGATACAGAAAAAATTGACATGGTCACTGCACAAGGATGCCTGCAAATTTATGAAGCATTCTATATTTTAAAAAACATAAAATCCTTAAAAGCAGCCCGCTTTTCATACCTGCAAACTACAAACTATATTGCATGCTGGTTTCTAGCAACAAGGCATTTTTCTAAGTGCTAAAATGCCAAATTGATGTCAGTTCCTTAACATTGCACTCAGGGTATCCTATTGATCAATTGTGCCAATTTGTGAACAAACCTTTGTGAGAATACTGACTTACAAGCAGGAAATCAAGCTGCTGGGAAACCAAGAAATACAACTCATGGGCTTAAGTCAGTCAGCCTTCCTTAAAAGCAATACTTAAATATAAGTGCTTACAGCTGGATCTCATGTAACAGCTTTATAATCTGGGATTTGGGGGGCCAGAATAGTGACTCAGGCTGTTGAGCACAGTTGCAGCCTTTGCTGAGTGGTGAATGTGGTGGAGTAAATGGGAGAGAGATTCAGACTGGAGAAACAGTAGCTGCTGGCAGTTTTGATAAAGATAGCCTCAGTATTAAAGCTTTTAGAGGAAAAATCTGTCAGAGTGCTAACAGGGAAAATAAAAATATAAAAGACTGCAACAGTCAGGTCAGCTTTCTGGTGAAGGCCTGACCTGGGCCCCTAATTTTAGACCAGCAGAAACATGCATTTCCTGAAAAGAGCAGTGTTAGGAAGATTGGAAAAGTGTAGATGCAAACTGCAAATGAGTAACAAAGGAAAGAGAAGTAGACAGGAAAAAGCTTTAGTTTCCAGGTACATAAGATAATGAGAAGAGATTAGATATTAAAAGAAGCTTTTAGCTGTGCGTTTGTTTTACTAGGATCAAGATTTTATTTTCTCTTACAATTCGAGACATTGGCTGGGCTCAGCAGGGCAGTTCTCACTCAGTGCCTGGCTTGATTATACTCAGACAGTGACTGGGTAGGATCATCTGGAAGCTCATTCACCCCTCTTGTCCTGGGCAGGGAAGACTCAGACATTTGGGGTCTGGAGCAGCTGGGGCTCCCACCTTTCAGAGTAGTTTTGTCAAAGTAGATGAGTTAAGTTCATAATACTTAGTCTTAAGTAACATGAACAGCATTGAAAGATGTGTTGCTTTTGAGAGGGGAGGGAGCACGCTTGCCCAAGGAAGTAGCCAAAAATACAGGCCTCACCTACTTACACATACAGTATAACTGAAAGAGGTTGTTTTCTGAATCTCTCCTCTGCCCCAACACTAACGTCTTTATCATCTTAGGAGAGAAAAGTTCAGTAGAGAGCAGCATGGTTCATAACAGTGTATTATAGTGGCTAAATCTTAGGCAGATAGGTGCAGGCCAAATCTTAGCCCTGCTGTTTGCTGGCTATATGACCTTGGCCAAGTCATTGGACTTTTTAAATGTATTTTTAATTTTATATATATATCATGTTCTACTTTTTTTGTTGTTGTTTTTTGGACCAGGGATTGAACTCAAGACTTTGTACTTGCCAGGCAGGTGCTTATGCCGCTGAGCTAAATCCCCAGCCCCATAAATCTCACATATTTTAATCTGTGTAGATTTTAAAGTAGTTAAATTAAGCCAATTAACATTTGTTGTTGATTCAGTCATTTTTTTTTTTGTGATGAAAACACTTAAAATCTGTAGACTTTGGTTCGTTTCTCTACAAAATAGAAATAATAGAAGCTATCACAATATAATTCCAAGAATTAAACTTACTAAAAATCCAAAAATTTTGTGTACTGTTAGTTCCTATTCTTCCTGATATTATTGGCCTTCGTTCCAGGTTGTAGAGGGATGAAAAGAAAGAAAACAGATTCATGGCAGAATATGGACAGTGCGCCAGGTGTCCTCTTCACTTTCCTCCTGTGCTTCTGCTTGCCTCTTAGGGTTTTTATGTCCCTGGAAGTCCTCTAATCTCTGTGGAAGGAGCCCTACTCTGTTCCTTGATGCAGTTCTCATTCTCTTGGATCTATTTGGCCTCAACTTCAAGGCTCAGCACATAGGCTTCTCCCAGGGTAGCTGAGAAAAGCAATCAGAACAAATTATCTGCAAGACATAAATAACTAGTGTCCTATTTGTATTTCCATAAAGGGATTACTGCGTGACATCCAAACATGTTTGACAAATTCTTTTTAATGACTGAGGAATAAGATTCTAAGGTAAATCAGTAGATTTTGTGAATGATGGTATTTGGTATGCGCAAGTCTAGCAATAAGTGACAAGTTCTAGGTAGGTGCTGGTCAGACTCTCCCAGGATTTCTTCTCAAGTCCATCGTACTTATGATGGCTTGATTCCTTGAGTACTTTTGAAATAATGAAGGTTTGAGTTATACTCCAGGACACTGTACCATAATTAACATGGTTTGCTGGTAGAAATGTATTAGAACCATTTGCTAGCCATTTTGAAAGTAGGTATCTATAAATTGAGCCTGCCTACATGTTAGTGAACTTTCTTCTATAAATAATGGATTTGTAGTCTTAAAACATGAAATTATATATTTAATCTTTGAAAAATACCATTATTCAAATGACCAGAAAAATATAATATTTGAAAACAATAAATTTATGTAGAAATAAAGACATAGCATCATGTCCTAGTTTTGTTATATTTTTTTAAGTCTTATACAGCATTCCAAGGTGCTGTTCAAGGATAGTAAAAATTTAACATTTATGAATATGTACTAGAACTTTCATCGTAACAACATAATTTTGTCTGTGCTAGACTACAAAAAATTTTTAAACTACAATTGTTTACATTGCCGTCATTTGTTTAATATTATTTGCATTAAAAACATTGGTGTTTGCTAGAAGCCACTAGTCAGAGTCTCATAGTAATGAATAAGTATTATCTGTACATGAAAGTTTAATATCTTAAATAATGAAGTTATTTTTATATTTTAATTTTCACATCCATTAATTTCTGATGATACATGAAACATGCTTCTCAGAGCCCTTATACAATGAGAATCTCATTGGATCCCAATAGGCCTCAACAGTATCAGCACAACCACTTACTTGCATGTTATCTGACATGAAGGTGCACAAAGAATAATTGTTTCATGATTGCCAACAGTGTGTGGGCCATAAAAATGCATTTGAAGAAATTCATGTTGTATAAGGGAGCCTTCTTCAAAATTTAACTTGGTTCTTTTACTATATTTTCTTCTCTTTTTGTTCCTTTAATTTCTGTTGTTTTAAAACCCGCACCCAAGATGCCTTTGCAGCTTCTCCTGGGGAGGCCCCTGCAGCATCCGAAGGGGCCGCAGCACCGGCTACCCCCACCCCCGTAGCAGCAGCACTTGATGCATGCTCAGGAAACGGTGGGTTTACGGTCATGAGCCAGTCTGTCATTTTTCTGTCCTGTCGTGAAACCCTTGTAGTTAGATGTGGTCATATGTTTTTCTTATTTTCTTTTCTTCTGAGTACAAACTGTCATTTATCATAAATGAATAAATAATTCCAGCATTTAAAACATTAAGACAATAAAGTGCATACTTACCAAAATTGACAATTGCTCAAGATTGACAATTTTTGTCAGTGCAAGTATGCTCTCTTAATGTTTTATCCCTTCTAATGCTGTATTGTACTCTTACAACATTGAGTTCAAGTATATCATCGTTTTAATGAACTTTCAAAGGTACCAAACTAAATTAAATAAGGGTTTGAGATGACAATCTGATCCTAAACTATAGGCTAATATTGCAGCGCTTTGCAAATTGTTTCTGATTCTAAACTTGTGGTTCCTATGACACATTATTTAGAAAGACATCCCAAATGCTGGCCCCTGCAAATAGAGAGTAGTCGAATATAAGCAGCCCGAGGACTAGCTAGTATATAGATACTGTATGTGTGCAAGCTGTGTCTCACCCGTAATTTTGATGCTTTCCTTCTTTACTGATGCCGTATGTGTCTCCACTTTGCTTTCCAAAAGACCCCTTTGCCCCATCCGAAGGTAGTGCAGAGGCTGCACCTGAGCTGGACCTCTTTGCAATGAAGCCACCCGAAACCAGCGTTCCTGTAGTTACCCCTACAGCTAGTACAGCCCCTCCAGTTCCCGCCACTGCTCCTTCTCCTGCGCCAGCTGCTGCAGCTGCCACTGCTGCCACTACCGCTGCCGCCGCTGCCGCCACCACTACCGCCACCTCTGCCGCTGCCACCGCCACCACTGCTCCTCCTGCTCTAGATATCTTTGGTGGTAATTTGTTGTTGTCGTTGTTGAACTCTTTCTGTCTGATGTACTGAATTATGTGGTCCTTGAGATGTATGTATAGCTCTTACTGCATGAATTTCGCTGTATAATTAAATGGTTCTTTGGAAACCATTTGCTACTTAATTCAGAATTCTTCAAAGAGCTAGTTGAGAACTGGGAAGTGATGCCATTTCAGGCTTGATTTTCAAGTGAAGTAAAGGCGTGTGTGTTCTTGGTCTTAGATTTATTTGAGTCTGCTCCTGAAGTTGCTGCAGCGCCTAAGCCAGATGCTGCTCCTAGCATAGACCTGTTTGGTACAGGTAAAATCACAGCAACCCTTTTTTTCCGTTTTAGTTTTCTTAGATACTTTCATGATTAAGCTGTTTGTACTCACCTGTGATAATGCATTTGTTAGATTTGTGACTTTGATTTCAGCTTTCTGCTACTTACTTCTGCTTGGTTTTGGTTTGTTTCACTTTCGGAAGATGCTTTCTCCTCTCCACCACAAGGGGCCTCTCCTGTGCCTGAGAGTTCTCTCACCGCTGACCTCTTATCCGGTGAGTGCTTTGCCAAGGTCAGTCTCTGGAGTCGTCTTATGGGGATCATGCATGGACAGGAGGGCACAAGAAGCTGCAGGTTTATTGTATGTTCTTTTAAATGTAAAATTATGTTGTAAAAGAAATCTTACTCTTTGACTCATCACCCACAGATGAGGGTTAGTATTTCAAACATAAAGTAAAAAAGTAAAAAGAAACCATCACAATAAAACCTCTGACTTTGAGGAGTCAAATTTTATTTTGTTCTGGAACATTTTAAATCCACTTGGTTTTCTCAGCTGTTAAGACTGTCTACAGTCCTTTAGCCTG